TAGAAAAGATTCAAGGACATGGAGAGAGGACTAAGAACAAACAGCTCCCTGGCAACCTTTTCGACTTAAAGATTTTTTCTGCCTTAATATAGACGTTGGAAATCTGTTTGCTATGTAAGTGGAATAAAGGATCACTGCGAGGTTTCGAACGCGCTCTCAAGAGGATGGCGCGGAAAGCGAAACCTAGTGCGAGAAGGAAAATTAAGGTCCGACAGAGCCGTCGTTGCACAGGTCAAAATGTCGAATATATGGTGGGCCGTACACGTAATGCGTCTGAGCAACAACCGATAAACAAGAGCTGTTAGCGATTCCACAGTATATCAAACGCGTGGCATGGAGCCCACTAACCCAATCTTCAGAATTTTTCACGAAAGGGCTAAAAGAAAGATGTGGTGCTCAACCAGTCTCTAGAGCAAAAAGAGCTGAGATACTTTCGCGCGCGGTAGAGGCGAATGAGAGCTTTACGCGATGATGGGTGATACAAGTGATGTCTATCATGCCACTTCGAAAATAACCTTGTTCACGGAGTACTCGTTAACCGACTAGTTAGGAGCTGGAGGGTTTCTCTAGGGGGTTAAACGACAGTACATAGGAAGTTAAACGGGAAAAATTGGTGACGGCGCACATAGTTATGGTGTAGATGGATTTAGGGCATAGGAACCTATAAGCGAAAGTGCAAGGGCTCTTCTGGTCTCCCTTTAGCTCCTTGCATATCGCTGAGTGGCGCTTAGCGTGTTATTCGGTTCATTAACGCCGGCAACAAACATACTGGCAATGTTTAAAAAAATTTCTATGAATTCTGTCTTAGCTAAGCAGATAACGCAGAAAGAGTCAAACTTGAAGCATAGTGGCATCTATATTCTAGTGGGAATTCAATTACATTAAGACTACCGGCTACCTAAACTGTCTTGAAGGTTTTCTACATACAATACGATGTTGTTCTTCACTGCTATTCTCTATAACGGTAACTCGTTATATGAGGGGAAGAAAGGACAAGGTCTAAATTATAATTTGTTCCTAATTTTGTGTCCTGAATTTTATTGCACTCCCTCCTTCCCACGAAAACGTTTTCCTTTATGTTGCGTTTCACATGTGTTTTTCCACTGTGTTTCCTCACTGTTTGTACCGAGAGATGACAAACAACCAGTAGCAATGTTGACAAACTAGCAGATCAAACGGATTGTGATAAACTTCTTTATTGCCTGTCAGGCTCGAGATGGTCGACAAGAACATGAAGAGAACCGCAGTTTTTGGTACGGCGTGATTCTGCACCGCTTTCTTGTCGGAGTCCGTCGTAACATAAATTTACTCTCCTGTGGGCTTCCGGTTGGAAACCTCTTGGCGTGAATAACCCAAGTAGTAGATTTAGTGTTTATTTTCGATTACAAACTACTTCACCTCTCAGCTGCGGAGCGAATGAGCTGCAAGCTTTCGAAAAAAAAAAGGTTCTCTTTCTTATTGAGGGAGACATGGAAGGAACATCTCTCCGTCTAGCTTTTTATAAAATACGAACCAGCAACTAAACTTCTATAAATCTTCCTACATTGAAGAAAGTTTCCACAAAAAAGCGAGTGATCTCCTCTTTAATTTCTGCCTTACCGTGCATTTTTCTTAGATTGGATACGAGTGTTGCCAACAGTTATATCGTCTTATGGCATCGCAGCTGGCTGTAAAGTGTTCTGTAATGTTTTGGTATGTTAGCACCTGCACGCTAGTAAAAACGCTGACTGGAAAACAGTCATTCACGTCGTGCCCACTGCAGCAACATCAGATTTTAGACAGTGTCCAGAAACTGCCATCGGTTTTCCGAATTCCCCATTTTACCTTACCCGCTCTTTTCTGCTTTCTTTCCTGGCACGAACAATGTTAATCTCAGTGGCAGTGATCGTTGCTCGTAATACTACACTATGCATTTATTTAAATTAAGCAACTGCTAGCGCACCCGCTGTACATTAACATCCTCATCATTCTGCAACTGTTGTACTATCCTTACAAGAATATTTGACTAGATAACTTAGATGTTCGATCTGCGACAACCAACAGTGCAGCGTGGTAGTGCTCAAGAGCATACTGTCTCTCAAACTAAGCCTCTATTTCTATATGCCACTATTTTATTGAGTCACTTCAGCACTATATGTAACAAGTTTGTCGAATTTCTGTGGAATTCCACGAGTTACAGGCACTGTTTCGAAATATTTCATAATTAAAGGATCAACAAAATTTTCCTGAAGCCAGTGTTCTAAGCCGTTATTAGCTGAACGCCGTTCATTTATCCATGACCGACTTTCTTTTAACCTCGGCATTGATTGGTAATTCGATGTTTTTCTTCGATAAGCTGACACGAGGTTGTTATTATAGAATTTATTAGGATTCAACAGCTGACGTTTCGGCGGTTTCGCCTTCTTCAAAGCCTGGAAAGGTCAAATTGAGATGCGATCTACTCAGCCAAACACTTTCATAACCCCAGCAGATAAAACTTAACAAATAAATTCGTATTCGCATAAGAAACAGCTTCATTCAAACATCTATCGTTTATTTGTTATAAGTATTTAAGTTAGTTGATGGACAGCCGCCGCACAGAGTAATACATGGGCGACGACTGTGTCTGTGTCAGATCATTGGATTAGGCTGAGCTATGGCGCCACATCACGCGTGATGACAAGCCACTCCTCCTTACGGCTCATTTTTGAATTTTTGGAATTGATCCAAAACGCTTCAAGAGTTTTACGCGCTGATGTTTTCGATTCCTGCGTGAGGATAGTGACACCTTCTTCAAAGCCTTCTCCGTTGTGTTCCTGCATCCTATGCGGGCCTAGTGGAGTATTTGGTTTTGTTTTAGATTTACTGACCGTGTTCATTTATGTGGACGCAGAGCGGCCTACCCGTTTCGCTAACGTATTCGTCCCCGCACGCTTCTCTACCGTTAGGGCAAATTATGCAGTTTTTCGTTATGCATAGACGGCCATATGGGCGGTTGCGAACTAGCTGGTGTCTTAGAGTGTCCGATGGTATTTCTATCACTCCTACGGAGTTCTCTAGACCGACCCTTATTAAGCAACGTTTTATAGCTGCACTTATTTCGTTCGAAATAAAAAGCAAGAGGAACGGAGCCTTGTTTTCACTAGAATTATCGCTCTGGGGCGTGGTTTTTCTTCTATGCCTATGCCGAGAAACTATAGTTTCGTAACCATTGAAATGGCTATTTGGCGCTCCAGTTTCGAGGATTCTTCCCTCAGATCTCTACCTGTGCACACGCTGGCAGTGGTTCGAAACATATTTCTTATAAGCGCTCTTTTAGTGTGTGAGGGATGAGAGAGGGAATGGGCCACAATATTCTTACTGCTTGGCTTTCGATACCATTTTGTGTTGTGGCCGTTTTCGGATAGTTGATTTGAACGTTTAGAAATGGAAGCCAGTTTTCTTTCGGTTTCTCATGGGTGAATTTTATGTTCTCTGACTGTTCTTTCAATAACAAAGCATTCAACCATCTCCTCTTGTGTGGAGCAGATGACAAAACAATCATCTACATACCTACAGTAGAGTAATGGCTCGAGATCGATTACTGGTGCTTCCAATTTAGACATGGAGGCAACGGCAAGGGTAGGTGCCAGTCGCTGTCCCATTGTCAACTCTCTAATTTGCGCGTAGTATTTCCCGGACCATCTGAAGATCGAGCAGTTTAAACAGACCTTTAGGAGGACCATAAGCTGCTGAATCGAAAAGCCATACATGTTAACTGCTCCTTCGTGTTACTCAAGAAGCTTGCGGATGACTTGCATTGCGTAGTTGTTCGACACGTTAGCGTAAAGAGCGGTAACGTCGAACGATTCCATAACGTACGCGCTTTTATGACGTGCGTTGCGCAGATGGTCTTGGGTGTTTGGGTGTTCGTGAGATGGGATGGTATATGCTTAAGCAACTGGTTGAGGATTAGATTTATAAACCAAGCAATTCTATCCGAAGGTCCGTCTACACAACTGATGGAACACAACGGAGAAGATTTTGAAGTAGGAGTCACTATCTTCACGCATGAATCGAAAACATCAGCGCGTAAAACTCTTGAAGCATTCTGGTTCAATTCCAAAAATTCAAAAATGAACTGCGAGGAGTGTTTTGTCATCACGCGTGGCGTGGCGCCATGCCTCAGGCTAATCCAATGATCCGACACAGGCACAGTCCTCTCCCATGTCCTACTCTGTGCGGCTGCTATCCACCAACTAACTTAAATACTTATAACAAATAAACGATAGATGTTTAAATAAACCTGTTTCTTATGCGAATACAAATTTATTTGTTAAGTTTTATCTGCTGGGGTTATGAAAGTGTTTGGCTGAGTAGATCGCATCTCAGTTTGACCTTTCCAGGCTCTGAAGAAGGCGAAACCGCCGAAACATCCGCTATTGTATCCTAATAAATTCTATAATAACAACCTCGTGTCAGCTTATCGAAGAAAAACATCGAATTGTTCATTTATTTCGAGAAATTCCATCTCCATTATCACCACAATTTATTAATCAGTAGTTGCAATGGCTACTCTTTCCAAGTCTACTCTGTCTAGTCTGTAGAAATATTCACAAACGGCACCTGTCGAATTCTTCTCTATACTTTTTCTAGCTGACGAAAAGTACCAAATCAAATCAGTGTGCAAACTACTAGAACTGCTTCAGTCGTTAAGATTAAAGTTTAAGAGACTTGATGTTGAGAAGTAATAGATGTATCATTTTTCATCTCTCTATCTGCAACGTGAGTTTAGCAAAATATCTTAGTCTTGCTGTTTCTCCCATTCTTCACATGTTAACGAGACATTGGCAGAAACATTCCGTCTTTTACTATAACTGAATGAACTTTAAAGTCGTTTTGCAATCATATACGTTGCGGGCAAAAATGGGCTTTCATATGGCCAATTCCGCCACCACTGTTAAGCGAGGTCAAGTTGTCTCCATAAAATTTAAGGTGTTCATCTTCTCGACTTACAAAACTTCGAAAGGTTTAGTGATCAAATGGAACACAATAGACGCAGTCAAAAGAAGATTCGTGTATTGGATGGATCTTTCAGTGCCGAACTATTGAATGTTTCCAGCGGTTACTTTGACGTGGTACACTACTGAAAAGTTAGGTGATACTTTCAATGTCATAGGAATAATGCATTCCTTATTTAAGGAACGCCCTAACTGGACTTTCGACGCAGTTATTCACGATCCCGAGGCGGTAGTTGCGGTCCACGAGAGGTGAGCATTTAGACAAAATTCTTTCCATTTCTTGCGTGATTAGGTGCTTCAGTTTGAAAATTATCCGGACCATTGTATTATTGAAGTAAAGCTCTAAAAGCTCTCGGCGCTGATCAATCGCTGAGGGATACCCTATGCATTCGACTTTATTAAGTATCGTTGGAGGTGACTGAATGCACATCTGGCCTTTGCAATGATTCGCGGTGGCCTACTGACGTATCGAACCAGCTCTGCTATCCTCCCAGACAAGTCTGGTACCAATTTGCCGACTTCGGAGAGATGGAGGGCTTGGTGGGCCATGGGTGCGGGGTCGATTGCACGTGTGCGTCGCAATGGCGCCTCAAACCACTGCGCCACACGCGCCCCTGCATATCTGGCCTTTACAATGAGTCGCGGTGGCCTACCGATGTATCGAACCAGTGCTGCTCTTCTCCCAGACAAGGCTGGTACCAATTATTGAAGTAGTGGTACGAATATTACAAAACTGATTTACTATAGACTACGTGTCAGTTCTCACCTGTCACCCACATCCCCTGCGTCCCACCAATCACCAAGTTCGTCGAGCGGATTCCAATAGGCTCCATCATTCCTGAAAGCGTAACTTTGCTGCTCATTTGATCGATTTACTCAAGCATGCGGAAAACACGGCATTTTTATCATGACGTCATTTCTATCAAGTTTTTTCTAGCAAGAAGTTAGCAAGAGAGGGCCGATGGAGTTTGTCACAACATGAGTTTGATCTTAGATGGGTTTACGCACGGAAATGCTGAATTCCTTGTCAGTTTGAGAGACTGCAAGGTTATAAGCACCAGCTGTACATCACAGTTTGACAGTCTAGAAATCTCTCTAACCAAGGTTGTAATAGGTTGTCGTATTCTGAAGGCTGTAATATTTTGGGGAGATCAAACGTAATGGATCGAAGCGTCCCAGAACGACATCCATCGGAGAATTTCCCGACATCAACACCTGATTTTGTTAGTTGAATTTGGCTTGTTTTCTTCAAAAATTTGTTCAGATTCATTGATGCTGGTGTGGATGATATTACCACAAACACATATCATGCGTCATTGCTCTGCCTGAAAGATCAAGGCCTTAACGGCGCGGAATTCATTAAGGTTGTTTCGATTCTCAGAGCTTCCTCTATACTTTCAAAATAAATAAAAAATAAATAGATAGTAGTGAGTCATACTTGAGGTGAGCATTGTCCTATGTATGGCGGTATGTTTCGAAAACTTAGACCTTCTACTACGAGAAATCTTCTATTTGAAGTCTTCCTCTCTATTATTTTCAACTACGGTTTTTTCTTAATCACAAATTACTTTCGCGTTTATAGTGTTTTAAAGCGCTGACCTTCTCTCTTTATAGAACGACTTTGTCACCTCATTTAGGAATTCTAAACAATCGTATTTTTTTTTCCTTAGAAAGCCGTCAACTTACTAAAGGACACCGTATCCAGCCACCAATCCGGTGATACACTACGAATCTGGGGTTCCATTGGATCGTATGCTATTTGCTTTCGTGGTGAAGCAGCCGAATACACAGGAGCATTTGTTGACGTTCAGCCGCCGATTAAAATCATGAAGGTTATCGAAATCATAAACAGCGGTTTGATGCTTTATCCGATAATTTGTCTAGAGTATAAATCCCAGAACACGTTTCTATCTTGATTAAGCTTTTTTTGTTTTATTAAAAACGGTAATTAGGCCATCTGGAAGTGCAACAACATGACCGATTTTATCGTATATAATTTTTAAACTAACTGTTATTTATCCTTTGCATTAAAATGATGAACATATGTCTAAATTGTTGAGCTCACATCGGATTGAAGAAGTAGCTTTCTTTGGCTGACTTTTCGTCTTTTTCGTCTTCATCAAAGTCGACCATTTGAGTCAATGGTCCATAGTTGTTCGCCTTCTCGATGTTTCGTCTTTGTGTTCGTATCGAGTCGGACCTTCTTCAGTGGACCATCTCTCAAATGAGACATTCTCATTCAGAACTTTCGAGCATGCGATAGTGTTTTCCACATAGATCCAGACTTTGGATCTTCTCTCTCGATGGTGTGATGTGGGATAATGTTAGTATTGCCCTCTATGTCCTATCTTGAGGGTTACTTTTTCTTTCCGGTGAAAACATTAGTGAAGGTACTGATGCCTTCTGGTTACAGTGGTTAATACGATGTCATATGTGATTTTCACAGCTTGCATAGTCAAATTCTCAATCAAAGCTCCTTATGCAAAATGAATGAGTCCAAAGTGGAAGTTATAAGCTTCCACGTTATAGAATATGACATGCTATAAGAGCTGTGCAATTTCATTGCCTTCCCAGTAGTCCTCCTACTAAACATTGCAGAAACTACAGCGATTATTATACTATTTCGAAGTCAAGAATGTGCGCTTTATTTTTGCTCCGATCAGGCAAACACGACCATTTGCTGTGCTTGGAGTGTGGTCTGCGTATAGTAGTAGGATGCTTGCTTTGTTTTACCTATCTAGATGTAGAGCTTATTTCTTGTAGGCGATTCTAGACGGCTTCTTGTGTAACTGGCATTCCTTCGATTGCCAGGTTTTGGCCGAATCAATTTGGAGAAGACAGTGTTTATCTACTTACATTTACACATATATAATGAATGCGATGCGATGCATGCGAAAGGTACAAGTCATTCCTGCACAGTGAAGGTGGAAAGTAACTCTAAGTGTTTACCTGCTCTACATCGATCATGTAATTCCGCTTTTAATCACACTTCCTCTGTGTGCCACCGAGTGCCGACCATAATGTTGAGTGACTTGCTCAGTATCCTTCAATTAGATCGGTCCATGAATGAAAAAGGAGCATGCTGATAGTTCCCAGCATCGACTTTCTATTAACCTCGACGCTGGATTATAAATGCGCCGGTTTCTTTCTCAGCAATTGTGAGGTTGTTACACACCATGCGTTTACTTCCGTACAAAAATACACGTACAACACAACAGTAGCTGACTCTCATTCATATGCGTCGTCAACCATATGCGACTCTGATCAGCGGTTCATCCTCAGTGGAAGGCACGTAAAAAACAGCTCTGAAGAAATCGATTCTGCAGAAACGTCAGCTACGGTTGTGTTGTACGTGTGTTTTTCTATCCAAGTAAACGTATGCTGCATAACAATCTCGCGATTGCTGAGAAAGAAAGCGAAGCATGTCGATAATCTGTTTGTTGGCTAGTAAAGTAGAAAACATAATGACCAAATTCTATTATTTTAATTATTACTTTTAGACCATGATAGCCTATTACATGGACCAAATTGAAGCGATGAAGGCAAGCGGTGTCCATGATTTGCTTTTCGAAACTATAAGCTCTGCGATGGAAGCGGAGGCGATTTGTGAGGCTTTGAATAACCACGATAACATAAATGCCGTAATTTCATTTACATGTCGTCAAGTGAGTAGAAATTCACAGCTTGCTCAAAATTTGATCACTTTCCAGCGCTTTTAGAATTCTGTTCTCCTTCGTCATGGTGAGACGCTTGGAAGTGCTGTGAGAATTGCACTGAAGTGCCCTAAGGTTTGCTTTCTATCAGTGACTGCAATTCACTTTTGATTTCCGTTGTACAATTTTGCAAATAAAATGTGGCTTTCTTCTTTGATTTTAGGTTGTCGGGTTTGGTATCAACTGCACGGATCCAAGAACAATAACAATATTGCTTGAATCTGTTCGATTCATAGAAGATGTGCCAGACATTTTCGTTTATCCAAACAATGGAAAATATGAATTGCACAAGTACGCCCCCGTTATTTTTGCAATCATGCAAAAAATTATCTTTTCTGACTGAAAATATCATTCTGTATAATATTACTAGTTGGCTACCCTCAATTCGAGAGATCGCCGGTTTCATTAAAGCCCTGTGGTGTGCCCGAGCATCTATCCGCAGTGTAGCATGTGGGCATTCCTCCAGCTAAGTTTCCGAGGCTGAGAATGAGCAAGTAATTTTCGGCCGAAAGCTTCCGCGTCAGTGAACGCATCTTAGGGATATCCCCCATCTGAAAAGAAGTCTTGCGGGGTGGAGTGAACAACATTTGTCGAACTCACAGGGGTGGGCTACTGCTCGTGCATTGGAACCGCGAGGTTTTCCGTACCCCAGGGCAAAAATTACCAAACCCGTAAGATACATATCAGTAGAAAAACATGACTTTTCACAAGATTCTTCATTGAGGTAGACTATTGAAGTGTGAAGAACAATTATTCAGAGATGCGGAGAAACCCTTGGACATTGTTCTCAATTCCATCGAAAAATGGGTGGAACTCGGAGCAACAGTGATCGGTGGATGCTGTGGATTCGATGCCAAGGACATTAGCGAAATAAAGAAAAAGGTCCAAATGTTGAACTCGAATACAAGCGGTTAATTTACTAGTAGTTGATATGAACTTTAAGTTGAAATCTATCACAGTTATTTGCTTGTAATGCGATAGAGTTTCGTGACAGGTAATGAGAAACATTTTGGTGCTATCATGTTATCCTTTGTGCCTCCCATCCTGGTGAGCTGCAATAAATTCTAAATGGGCTTCATTTGTATATAAGAGCATTTGTTCTTCCTAAATGTGTTGTGCAGTTTTCCATTGCTTAAATGAAGAAATCTCCAGTTAACTATACGAAATAAATAAGCAGTTCGTTGTCACAGGCACAAAAAATTTAACATCTTCAAACTGAATGATACGGTGCTCCATGTTCGAGAAAGAAAGTTGTTTATGCCAATGGGCTAAGAACAAGATTAAGCAAGTGTTGAGCTTTCGGAAATTTTATAGTCTGTCTAATAAATGATAATTTATAAATTTTTAGCGATTCAGAAATCGATCTGAATCAGTGAACTTGAAAAGAAGAAAGTTGCGGTAGAAAACACCATCACAGAATTTTGCACGACACATTTTTAAGATGGTTATAAGCATTTTGTAACATCAACACCATTCATATTGATAGCTGCCTTTTTCATCGTGGATTACACAAGCACGGAAAGACAGCGTTTTCGGTTTGCTGCTCTACTGCGCTTCCTATAGTGATTAGCTCCGTTGAATGACGTAGTTCGAGTAAGTCGTGACCTGTATCACCTGTCGGCTCGTTGATGGTTAAGTGACTCGAGTGCGCGTTAGTGAATCTTCCATTTCACCCTGTCGCGAGCAATACGAGCCTAGTTGGTTTCGCCACCCTCCCTAATGATTTGGAGAGCATCGTACTTTTCTTATGAGGTTTTCGTGGAGAACTCTAATATTCAGGTTAGCAGTCTTCCGGTTCTGCGTTTGACAATCCCAGCACTCCATCCACTAACAGTTCTTTTTCAATGTTGGTCGCTCATACGCATTAGGTATCAAACCCATCATATCTTTGACAGTTGGGCTTATAGAACTGCGCCCTTGATTTTTGATCCTCACATAGATCGCGGGTTTCCGATCCTTTTCCTCGCTATTCTGATAGGGGTGCTCCTACCATCATAATTTCGACTGGAAATTCTACAACGCTGAATGCGCTCTCATGCTTGTGCAGCAATCTCTGATGCATGCCTGAGGGCAGGAAAGTTCTTGGAATTGAAAAGGTAGGCACGGGGTCAGGGGTTCTTTGTTCTCTTCACTACATCCTCTAAGCTCTTCAAAGAGCCCCACACCGCTTGTTTCCCTCTGCCCACCATCCAGTCATTCATCTTGTTGATCTGTCGATCAAGATAGACACAACTGGAGCATTCGGAGATATTCTATCCGTTCAGCGCAAATGGGACATACTTAGTCATTTCCTTTATCATGTACATCGTTTCTATGAGATTTATTCGAAGACTAATTTTATCAAAGTTGGTGAGCATTTGTTCCACTTTAGCTTGTACTCGGTGTGATAAGCACGTTGTCATCAGCAAAGCGAATGTGGTTTAATTGCCGGCATTCAGTTCTTACTGGTTTTATTTCAACTATGTCAAAACGACTCTTTATGTTCTTGTTTAGCAAACATGTGGTGTTATTTTATTTCTTTATTTGCCTACCCGACGTTTAGGCGGATTCCGCCTTCCTTGGAGCCTGGAATGGAAAAGTTGATTGCGATCTACCCGTCCAACACCCGGCTAAAAAGATCCATAACCAAACAGAGAAAGTGCTAAACCTAGATTTCAATCGAACTAAACACAGAGCAACTTCTTTGCACACTCACCGCTTTCTATGAGTCTTCCACTGAGTATGCCGCATGGAGACCAAAAGCATAGAATTCACATGGAAACGTAATCTGCCTCTCATTAGAATAACAGGCTTACATAGTGACCAATATCACGTGTGATTATGAGGCATTCCCTCCTGCGGTTTATTTTCGGATTCTTGGAATTAATCCAGATTGCTTCGAGAGCTTTGCGCGCTTGTGTTTTTCATCCCTGTGCGAGGATCATCGAAGTCCTCCCCGTTATGTCTCTACGTCTTTTGCGTACCTAGTGGAGTATTTGGCTTACTTTTACCGACTAGGTGTTCTTTTATAAAAACGGAGAGCATTCTACCCGCTTCGCCAATGTATTCGTCACCGCACGCTTAACAAGTGGTCAGATAAACTGCACCCGAACTCATGCAATCACCGTCTCTACCATTTGGGTAAGTTATGCAAATTTACGTTGCACATAGACGGTCGCATAGGCGGTAACAACTAGCTGGGCTCTTAGAGTACTCGGTGGTATTTCAATTACAATTACCGAATTCTCTAGACCGGCCCTTCTTAAGCAGCGTTTTATAGCTACACTTACTTCATTTAGAATGAATGGCAGAACAGAAAAGGACGTTATTATCGATAGAGTTGTCGTTTGTGGGCTTAGGGTTTCCTCTACCCAATCCCGAGCTACAGTTTCGTAGCCGTTTGAAATTGCTTCACGGATCTTCCTCATATGAGGGATCTCGAGCCGGTTCGCCGCGAGGCTACGTGCCGCGTCTCCAGGTGGCGGGTAGGGGGTTCCGAAAGAGCCCTAATTTCGCAGCGTTGCGTAGGTCGAGTACGGAGAGGCTCCTAAAATCTCAGCGCCAATGGAAGCTTCCTCGATTACAAAGACCTAAGGTGACGATCTGTGCCTACAATGCACGTACACTCGCATCCGAGTCCTCGATAGAAGAGTTGCTCATGCAAGCAAGAAGGATAAGGTACGTTGTCATCGGCCTGGCCGGTGACGAGAAGACGCCACCGATTCTACGCCGTCTATGACACCGGAGAAGAACTGTTCCTCGGAACACGCGTCAGTAGAGGAGTCAGCGGCGTCGGCGTTCTGGTCAACACGAGTTTGTCAATGAGAATCGATTCATTTGAGCAGCTTGCAACCCGAATCGAGCGTTTACGACTAAGCCGATGTGAATCAATACCGGTTTTGACAAGGTTCGTCGTTTACACGCCAACATCAAACTATGACGATGAAGAAGTCTATATGGACTTGGAGACGTTCTGCAGACAAGACCATACATTCTTCAAGGTCATCATCGGAGATTTCAACGCCAAGATTGTGCCAAGAAGACCGTCCGAAGAACGTCACATTGGGACCCACGGATTAGAATGGAACGAACAGGGTGGGCACTTGTCTGAGTTTATCATGGGAGCCAACACCACCCTTGGTAACTCGCAATTCCAGAATCCCCACCGTCAACGCTGCACATGGGAGTCTCACAACGGAGAGTATCATAACGAAATATACCACATCATAGTAAATAAAAGGTTTTGCCTAACCGATGTCGTTGTCGTCTCAAAATTCTACACGGGATCAGACCATCGACTCCTTCGTGCAAGATTCTACTTCTCGCGGAAACGAGAAAAAGGCACTAAATTCAGGAAAGAAAGTTCCAAAACTACTATAAACTGGGACTTATTCAATTCATTAGTCGGCTGCTGGGAAGATGTCTTTGTCGACAACATCGACTAAGAATATGATCGGCTCATTCAACATCTTCACATTAGCGCTCTGAAAGCTGAGAGTTCGAAAGTCGACAAGAGACGTCTGTCTCCAGAAACACTCGAGCTGATATGCCAGCGTGGAATCGCACGAGCTGCAGGCAACCGCGAACTAACGTCTGAACGTGCAAAATTATGCAGACAGGCGATAAAGGAAGATCGTAAAAAAAGATGGGAGCAATACTGGTCGGAGCTGCAGAGGCTGGGAAAAGCATTCGCAAACCCTACCGAAGCTTCGCCAATCACAATACCAAGACGATTGCGTTACTACGTCCAGACGGAACGGTTACAGCGTCCAGAAAGGCAATGCGGAAAATCATTCACGAATGCTTCTCAGATTTATTCGATAGCCAAGTCCACTTTCCGTCATATGAAAAAAGGGAGGATGGTTATGTTGTACCACCGGTTCTCCCTTCCGAAATCCTTCGTGCTATTTCGTCGGTGAAAAATCGAACAGCACCAGGTACTGACAGGATAAGACCAGAACTCTTGAAGAACTATCCGCCAGTCCTCGTAAACACACTGGCTCGGCTCTTCACACGTTACCTGTCTGAATGCGAGGTCCCTACTCAGCGGAAAACTAGCAAGACCGTGTTATTGTTCAAGAAGTGTGACCTGCACGATATCGGCAACTATCGCCCTATCTGCTTACTGTCCGTCGCCTACAAACTTTCCACTCGAGACATCCTAAACAGGATTGACAGAACACTAGACGAAGGATAGCCATGTGAGCAAGCAGGGTTTCGAAGACGATTTAGTACGATGGACCATATCCACACGATAGCAAGGCTTATTGAAATATCGCGAGAGTACAAAAGACCGCTCCGTCTCACTTTCATCGATTTAAAGAAGGCCTTTGACTCACTTAAGTTAGAAGCAGTCATGGAAGCCCTTGATAGTCAAGTAGTCCCTACTCAGTTTATAATGATTCTTCGCAAGCTGTACAAAAATTTCACAGCCAAGATATCACCATTCGACAACGATATTATCATTGATGTCGAAAGAGGAGTTAGGCAAGGCGGTGCCATCTCGCAAAAATTATTTCCCGCCATCCTCCAGAACGTCATGCGAACATTGGAATGGGAAAACATGGGTGTGAAAATCGACGGTCGGCAGTTACACCATCTTCGCTTTGCTGATAACATCGTCCATAAGGACGACACCAAAGATTAGCCAGCGGAACGTATGCTTACCGACTTTGATAAATTCTGTAGAAAAATTGGTCTTCGACTAAATCTCACAAAAACGATTGTTATGAGGGACAGATTGGCTTCGTATGCCACATTAACGCTCAACAGAAGGAATATCTTCGAATGCTCCAGTTATGTCTATCTAGGTCGGGAAATCAACATGTTGAACGACTTAGCTCCAGGGTTGAGCAGAAGGAAACGAGTGGCTTGGGGAGCTTTCAGGAGCATCGAGAACGTAGTGAAAAGAACATAGGACACCTGATTTCGTGCGC